GATGGCCTCAGGGCCAGACATGCATAATGCCCAAAGGAGTCAATTTCTTAATAAAATATTAATTTCCAACGCACCCCATCCGCTATAAGACAGACGGGATATCGTACAAAGAATGTTTATTGCAGGAAGAAAACTGTAGGCTCCAACTTTCGTCCTTTGATCTGCAGAAACAAGAAACTTGTTAGCATGAATACAAAACAAAGTCTACCGAGAGAATAATACGAGTTTAGGAGGCATGATGAAATCAGTTATTATTCCCAGTGGATAAAATCAAAATACGAACAGAAACAGAGCATACGAGAGCAATTTTATTTATTCGCTAGTTTTCACGACTGATTTGAGAACGGTAGTATTCATAGTTGGTAAGGAAGGCAATTGGTGTATGATGGTAGGATTGAACACTCCATAACCTACTAAAAAAGTTGGATCTGGCACCATCTTCAAAGCTGATATTTCATAAAAAGCAACACACCCAATCACAATCAAGCTTGTTCTCTTTCTGTAGAGCTGATAAAACCAGATAGGCAAAATCAAACCACGGAGATAAGTCGTGGAAGTAAGCCAGACGCGAGAGGAAACAAAATCAAGCGGCAAAGGAAGACCAATGCCGTAATGTTAGAATCAGTTTCTGGAGTGACCAGGCAGGTGTCGGAAACTAACGAGCACAAGACAACATCTAAATTCAATGCTAATCCTCAGAAAACAAACATCGGAAGGAAATGAATCGAACTCTTGAGTTCACCATTACATGATCGAATTTCCAAACCTCATGAATAGAAAGTAGCAGAAACAACAGTAAAAATACATAAAAAGAAACAAAGCAAGTGGAGTGTAAGGATTTCATGTGCATCCAAACAAATATACAGTCATACTCAGAATCAAAGCAAGAAGAAATGAACAGAGAGAGAAAGAGAGATTATACCTCCGGAGAAGAGAATCAAAACAGAGTGGGAGAGACAGAGGAGGAGGATCTGAGAAGAGGAGCAAAGTAGGTGCGGTTGGAAGTGGAAAAACACCTTCAGAACTTTTCTCAGACTCGCTTTCAGATCGATCTTTTTCAGTTGGAGAGTGACGATTATGGATCAAAATTCTGCGAGCTGATCACTTATGAACTAACCCAGTACTCTATCTTAATCTTTAGCCAGACATTGCCTCCATTAAAAAACAACTATTTCAAACCCAATTTCCTCCCCATTTCGTTCGCATCTCTCCGCCGAATCTTCACACATTTTTGCCCCCTTTTTTTAACCTTTTCCGAAAACAAAAAATTCCTGATCTCAAGAGATTTTACCCTTTTTTTTTTTCTTTTTTAATTGTTAATTTACCGAATTAGTAAATTTCATAAATGTTTTTAAACTTTTAATTATTAATATTTTTAAATACTATGATCTTAATTAACATAGTTTCTATAATTTAAATTTTTTGAATTAGATATTATAATTTGGATCAGATCTCATTAATCACTTTTAAATTGATATTAATTCGGATTAAATCAAAATTATTTATTCACAAATTGTATCATATATTTAATATGGGTATAATAACTTGTAGTAACATTCATGATTTATTAAACGTGACCAAATTATATTTAAAAAAACCTAAAAATAAATTAAAATGTTTGAAATGGTATCCCGTAATGGTAATTTTGCTTTCTGCTTTACGCTTTATATTAGAACCTTTTCACATTCTGTCAGTTTCTCCATTTAAGTAATATTAATTATTTAAAGAAAAGAATAATAATAAGTTGATAAGCTCCTGCTCTATTTTTGTCATATTCAAATACATCACGTGTTGTACGTCTCTATGCTCATCATTTAAATTTTCTAAAATTTCTAATTAATCAATTAAATTACTAAAAGTAGGTACTATTTTACAAATAATTTATTTGAAGTTAATGGAGACATTATAATTTAAAATTTATCGTATGATACAATTAATTAACGAAAGGTGATGTTTATTGGTAAGAATTTATTGGGCTGCATCAAGTGTGTGGATTTTGTATGTGTATTGAGTGGGTTCGTCAAGAAACAGTGATGGGGTGCGGAAAGAACCCAAAAGCCCGTGGCACTTCCAACGGCCCAATAAGACCTTTATTACACTCCCAATAATACCTTAAATACACCTTTTAAGTTAAAATAACATACATAAATTTAATTTTTAAAATAAATAATACAAATTATATAATTATTAAACATCACCTCAAACATAAAATCCAAAAAATAGCTTCTCGATTGGAGAGACAAACCAGCGTCAAAGATGTGGGCTCCAAAGGGAGTGGATTGTGAGATCCCACTTTAGTTGAATAGTTGAAGATGAAAACCAAATATTTTTTTTTTATAAGGGTGTGGAACCTCTCCCTATCAGAATATTTTAAAAATCTTATAACGATATAGTATGGTTATCAATGAGTTAGGTTGAATAGCAACTCGCCATTCATTTGTTTTGATTCATCATGTAGAAGAAACGATGGATAATAAAAGCAAAATAATGACGATTAAGTTGAATATTCAAATATCAAATTAAAGTCAACAAGGGTATGCAATTAAAATATTTTTTACTCTATATTTTGAAAAAATATTTGGTTCATCGTCAGTAAAAATAATAATAATAATAATAATAAATAAATAAATAGCGGTTTTGCCCAAATTCTAATGGAATTTGAGTTAGATTAGTGGTAACTACCAACATAAGTTTTTTTTAATACATGAAGTATAATAAATAAAATCTTGTTTTTTAATAAATATTTTATTTTATTTATTAAATTCCTAAGTAAATCCAAATAATTGGGCACCAAATAGGATCATTTTTACCAAAACTTTAGCTACATCCCAATTTTTTTTCTTAAATTTTTTATGAAATTTTCAATATTTATTAAATTGAAATTATGATTCTCATTTTAAATAATATTGATGCCAATGTGAGTTGACAATCTATAGAAGGATAAAGCATAAAAGCACTTAATAAAATTTCATAAAACTTCGATATTTAAATAAAAATAAGTAATTGAAGGCGTCCATTAATTGTTATCCTAGGTCTTTGAAGAACCCATGGTACTGCATAATTTAATTTGACTAATCAAACTTCATCTAAATTGATAATACGAAATATATATTAATATTATTTTCTTAAGACCAAATACCTTGAACGGACATTTTAGTCAAATAAGGGACGCCTATTTTCATACCTTTCAATCACTCATCACAAGACTCTTCCAATTCCTCTCAATCCATAAACGAGATATGCGGCCTAAATTACAAAATTCCACATATACCATTCATCCTCTTCTAGAATACCTCGTTATTTCCTTATTTTATATCTTATCATTTTTATTTATTTATTTAATTCCACGTCATTTATTTTCTTCTGTTATATTGTTTATTAATATATTTTAAAAACGATTAAAAACACAATGAAATTATTAGCCCCCTAAGTACTAAACTAATACTACTTAGAAACATTGATTAAATTTTTGTAATTTTTTATAACGTTTAAAAGTCAATGTAGAAGCTATCAATATTAACAATTTTTTTTTTATTATTAGAAATTTTTATACATCTCTTGAATTTATGGAGAGTTTGATTAGTCTTTGTTTCGTATAAATTAAATTTCTTAATTCGCAAATATTACGTGTCAGTTCCTTAGTGGTCTGTGAGATTAGTTTCCTTCACGGCAATCTCACCTCCAATCTGGCTGAGCTTCACACATTTGGCTATAAATAGCGTATGGTGGATCTCTCCTTTCATTCATATAACTCATCAGTTTGCAAATTGAAGGTGTCGGAAATGGCGAGCCAAGTAGTCCTTGTTGCATCATTCTTGTTCTTGCTACTCAGTTTTGGTAGGATATTGTTTCTTTCTCGAGATGTTAGTAATAATAATGTTTACTTCCTTTGATCACGTTATTATACTATTTCAGGGGCGGAAGCTGCTACGATAACGGTGAGAAACAATTGTCCGAAAACTATATGGCCAGCAACATTAACAAGCGGTCCAGGACAACCTCAACTATCAACAACTGGATTCGAATTAGCTCCCGGAGCGTCAAGGTCGTTTAACGTCCCAGCGCCATGGACTGGTCGAGTATGGGCACGAACCCGATGTTCCAACAACGGTGGACGGTTCACTTGCTTGACAGGAGATTGCGGTCGTGGGCTCTCATGCAATGGCGCTGGAGGAGTCCCACCAGCGACGTTAGCTGAATTCACGGTCGCCCCGAACGGCGGGCAGGATTTCTACGATGTCAGTCTAGTGGATGGGTTCAACATTCCAGCCTCCATCACGACCCAAGGCGGGACAGGGCCATGCAGATCCTCCAACTGTCGTAATGACGTGAATAGGGTATGCCCAGGGGAATTGCAAGTGAGATCGGGCAACGAAGTGATTGGTTGCAAGAGTGCTTGCTTTGCATTCAACCAGCCCCGGTATTGCTGCACTGGAGAGTTCAATGACCCTAACAAGTGCAGGCCAACAAACTACTCAATGATTTTCGAGAACCAATGCCCGGATGCTTATAGCTACGCATATGATGATAAGAACAGCACTTTCACTTGCAACAACAGGCCAAATTATGTCATCACATTTTGCGGTTGAGAACAATGACTATAAATAATTAAGAATAAAGATATAACACCATAGAGTATTGATGTTATACGAACAAACTTGACAATGAAATAAAATCCAATTTCCAATTATTATTCTCTCTCAATATTTTTAATTTAATTTTATTTAAGGGATAACTTAGTTAATAAATAAATAAATAATAGTAATTTTCCACAAAATGATTAAATTTAATTATTTTTCAGTAGCTCGGACCATATTGACGCTAAAATTATATAGTAGATTCCTTAAAGATACATAAGATTCTTAATTATTTATTTATATGTATTTATAGAATTAGAAAAAGGTGCAATTATGAAATTCATGTAGGATTGAGATTGTGTATAAATATTATTCCATCGTGTGTTGGGAAAAAAAATCAGTTATTTTCGTTAAAATTGGACTGCCCACCGTGATGGAGTGATTTCAGAGAGTTTGGGAATAATTAAAAATGGCCCATTCTTATGCGAATTGGTAATTCGTCGCTGCCCCATTCTTTTCGCTCCTTCCGATCCACTTCAAACAATCCGCTTCTTCTTCTTCTTCTTCTTCATCTTCTTCATCTAGGGCTTCTTCTTCACATCGATAATTCAATTCTCAAAGCGCATCTCGAATTCTTGACAATGGCGAAGAAGAGGGAGACGTCCCAGAGGAAGAAGGGCAAAAGACAACCACCACTGATTGATAATATACCCAAGTACTCTCAACAGCGCCGAAGCTCACCGCCTAAACGCCGCACTGATTTCTCCTCTCTCTTTTGCTATTCTTCTTCTATTGCCCACCAAGGTATCTTTTAATTTTCTACCTTTTTGTTTCTGGAACTGTCTGAACTAACCTAGCTTTGTGATTAATTTTGGAATTTGTTTGTGCACTGGATTTGATGACTCTCACTGTCATTGTATCGCCTCGGATCTCTCTAGCACAATGTTTCATATTTTTTTGTTGATGTTTTTTTTATTTTCATCACATTATTATCTTTGATTTCCGGATATTGCTAGACATTATTTCTACGATCCTGTATTGTTATCTAGTTCTTGGAGAGAAAAAAAATGTGTTTAGACTGATTCACGAAATTGCCCCTATTTTCAGTTATAATACTCACCGTTACCTGTTAACTAGTTCTTTTCATTCACACACGGACAATAATTTACATCCATTATTCTGGCAACAGTTGAAAATGGAGGGCAGGAGTTCTTTTTGGTTATCGTGTTCCATGTTGTGTATCTTGGGGAGTTCGAATCTGAATCAATATAAATGGTCAAATTAGTGTTCTGAATTCTATTTGTTTGCACTCAGCACTGTCCTTAATGATTTAGTGTCAGATGAACCCTAACCCCAGCCAGCAATTTCCCTTGACCATGAGCATGTGATGTGTTGCCCTCTTTGAGGTGGTCTCTCTTAGTTGGGTATTCGTAGTGTAGTTGGCTTTTAGATGAAATTCGTGGCCCCTAGTGAGAGGAATGTGTCAATGGATGATATAAGTATGATTTAATGTTTGTTCTTATGATGGAAATTTTAATGATCCAATAGCCAGATGCATCTATGTCTATCATCCAATATAAGAATTAAGATATTAATAACTACCTCTTGATTGTTTGGTATTACTTGTATGGATATTTGTTGCATCAGAAATATCTGGCTCGAGAGATCCTATATAGCAATCAGCAATTCCACAAGTTTTATTTTTCATTTCATTCTGTCAACCCTTTCCTGTTGAAGTGCGCTAGTTTCTGTTTTCTTTAGTATTTTGGAAAGGGAAAAGTCTCAATGTTATATTTGGATTATATGTTAAATGATTGAAACTGAACCTGAAGTCTTTTGGACATGTTAGGCACAACTGTCTTGCCACAATTCTCCTTGAATCACTCAGATAATACAAATGAAGAACTCTCTTCGAGCTCTTTGGTCAAATGCAGCAACTCCTCTGGGGAAGATGATGAACTTAGCCAATGCTCAAGTCCTGATGATATCCAATCAGTTGAATGCCGCCTCAGTGAAAGGTCTGCTTGTTATGTTAAACTGTTGTTAAAAAATAAGCTTTCAAATTTCTTTTCTTTATTCATATTAGTTAGTATTTTGATTATCCTTTTTCAGTTCATGCAAGGCGTTAAGCAAGAGAAAAGGTACTTCTAAGATATCATACCCTGTTCGTAAAAAATTACCAGATTCAGAAAGCAACAGTCTTTCTGAAACTCCAGAGAATGTACAGTTGTGGTCTACGGAAGTAAGTAATGTGCTATTCTTTATCACTAAATTCAAAAAAATTCTGTGTGTATTATGATTTTCATTTAGAAGTATCCAGCTTTTCTACTCTTCCTTTTAATGTCTATGCTTAAACCTCTGTGCATGACATTTACCTTCCTTCAGAGTTTTGAGGAGAGGAGTTCAAACACAACGGCAGAGTTTCAAGATCAATCATGTGGTATGCGCTTGATTTGTATATCAATATCTGCCATTTTGTTTTGAAGTTATCTTGGCCACACTATTCCTGCCAAAAATACCATGCTCCGTGAAATTGAAAAAGATTTTACTTTTTACCATTAAGCTGAGAACATGTGCAGCATCTTCCATTTTTTCAATACATAATGATCATTAAGTATGCATGTTTGAAAGATCAACGTCTTCCAGTGTAACGGCCCAAGCCCAGGGAAAGCTTAAAGAGGACAATATCTACTAGCGGTGGGCTTCGGCCGTTACACCTAGATTCCATGCATTCATTCTGTTACATCATGTTGTCCCGTTGGGTTTTTCTTATGAGATATCAAATATGATGAAATTCTTTGTCTTCTTTAAGCAGATAAAGGGTCTTCATCAAACTCTAGCAGAATTGAAGATAATGACCTACACGTCGACAGACGACGAGGAAAAAGGGAAAGAAAGCCAAAAGTTCCCTTCGATGTAAGTTGGGGTCTCAAAATTTATTCCAATGCATGGAAAACACAGAAAAGACCAGTTGTATATTATGTTATGATAAAACAATATTCTTCGCTCTGTAGGAAGAGACCACCATTTCTGTTAAAGCAACAAGAAAATTTCGTCGAATGAGGATAATGCGGTACCTTGGGCTTGCGGCTCCAGTTGGCTCTCCTTTTTCACCAATTGCCTGAGCCATCATCATCCAATCCGGCTTCCTAGTAAAGTTTTCATTCTGCAGTGTTTAGTAGTTAATCTGTCAACTCATTTTGCGTCAGTGAAAAGTTCCTAATTTTGTTCTCATATTTATAATCCCAGCATATATTTTGCTTCATCATTTGTAAATAGGCTGAGGTTTTGATGACATTAATTAGATCCTCCTTTATTATTATCCACCTTTAATTCCCTTGTCCCAATACTACAAGGCATGTTCCTTGAACTTTAATTTAAATCAGAGTGCGTAATTTGAAATTTTGATGGTCTAGAATTTGTGGATGGACACCTCTCTCTAGCCGGGGGCTCATTTGAAGATGGGGACAACATCCAGGTATTGCGTATCAGTTTGATAAATTATGAGTACCTTAAAGAAATCTTTGCACACTTATTGTCTATGTTTGGTTCACCACTTGGAAATAATCATTTTGTTACCTGAGATTTTGTAGCAGAGGTTTATGTATTAGTAGGATTAGAAAACGTGTAGGTATGATATGATATGATTTGATATGATTAAACAAACCTATACTATTAAATACATTTAGTTTATATCTCAGACAATACAAGCCAAACCTTAGGAGCTGAAGGGTTTGAAATGCCTTAGTTTCAGAGCTATATGTCTATGTATGTAAAACATGGGGAAGAAGAGACTGGAGAGTCTCAGAGCATAGTCTATTTCAAGTCATCAATTTTTACGGTTGATCTAAAATCATGCTTGTTTGAAATGCCATATATACATATATATATATATATATATATATATATATATATATATATATATATATATATATATATATATATATATCGAGAGAGAGAGAGAGAGAGAGAGAGAGAGAGAGAGAGAGAGAGAGAGAGAGAGAGAGACTTAGAAGGTTGAAATGTAGGAGAGAAGCTTCTAGAAGATCATTCCACGTGCTTCACGTTGGCCTCAAATTGGAACTATCTTCCAAAGGAAACACCTCTGGGAAAAGAAAAAAAAGGAAAATTTATCATACGATTCTCGCACTCTTGCAAATCAAATTTATTTTCTTTGTCGGATTTTCCTTTTTTCCTTTTAAGAAAATAATATTGTTTATATACGTCGTTGTATATGCACCTTTAAAAAATTATCCGGACCGATCAATGAATAGTGATTGAGCTTACACACAAAATGGGGATCTGCCTCTACTACAAAACCCAAATCAGAGCACCATCGTTCCGCAAAAGCTTCAGTTCACATGGCTACCCCTCACTTCCTTTTGTTCCCATTCATGGCACAAGGCCATATGATCCCCATGATTGACCTCGCCAAGCTTCTCGCCCACCGTGGCGCCATTGTCACCATCGTCGTCACAACCAACAACGCCACCCGCAACCACTCTGTTCTTTCTCGCGCCATCGATTCCGGCTTGCACATCCGTGTCGTCCAACTGGAGTTTCCATGGAAGGAAGGTGGCCTCCCAGAAGGGTGCGACAATGTCGACTTGCTTCCTTCGCTTGCCTCCATGTCCACTTTCTTCAAAGCCGCCAGTCTCCTTTACGACCCTTCCGAAAAATTGTTCCTCCAACTCAATCCCCGTCCCGCTTCCATAATCTCCGATATGAATCTTCCCTGGACCCTCCAACTTGCTCAAAAATTTAATGTCCCCAGACTCGTTTTCTATACTTATAGTGCCTACTTTCTCCTCTGTTTGCAGGGCTTAATGACCAATCCTGATCCTGTCGAGTTTCGCAAGTCGGAGTTACCTAGAACCACCGACGTAGACATGGCCAAGTTTGGGGTTGAAATGATCCTGGCCGATGCGCAATCTTACGGCGTTGTTTTTAATTCTTTTGAGGAGATGGAGCCTAAGTATGTAGCCGAGTATAGAAAGACAAGAGAATCGCCAGAAAAGGTGTGGTGCGTCGGCCCTGTTTCCCTTTGCAACGACGACAACCTCGACAAAGCAGAAAGAGGCAACAAAGCCTCAATTGACCAACACCAATGCATCGAATGGCTCGACGGGCAGCAACCAACATCCGTGGTCTATGTCTGTCTGGGAAGCATCTGCAACTTGGTGACGGCCCAACTCATAGAGCTGGGATTGGGATTGGAGGCATCGAACAAGCCATTTATTTGGGTCATAAGGAAAGCAAACCTTACAGAAGAGCTACTGAAATGGCTGGAGGAGTATGATTTGGAGGGGAAAACCAAAGGGAGAAGCCTCGTGATTCGTGGATGGGCTCCTCAAGTTCTTATACTCTCCCACCCTTCAATCGGGTGCTTTTTGACGCACTGCGGTTGGAATTCGAGCACCGAAGGGATTTCGGCGGGCGTGCCGATGATCACGTGGCCGCTGTTTGCGGACCAAGTGTTCAATTATAAGCTAATCGTAGAGGTTGTGAAGGTGGGTGTGGGTATGGGGGTGGAGACAGTTATGCACTGGGGGGAGGAGGAGGAGATAGGGGTGGTTGTGAAGAGAGAGAAAGTGAGAGAAGCCATAGAAATGGTGTTCGATGGAGAGGACAGAGAAGAGATGAGGCAGAGATCCAAGAAGCTTGCAGTAATGGCGAAGAGAGCTGTAGAAGAAGGGGGTTCGTCTCACAGGGATATCAAGCTGCTGATTGAAGATATTGTTGCTCATGGAGGAGGCCATGAGATCTGAATAGCATCCCAATAACCTCTTTGGTTTGTTGTTATTATGTATTGATGCTTCCTCAAGTGAGATCTCATCATCCATCTCTTTTCTTTATGAAACGGATCTCTCTCCTGTTTTCCTATCAAACAACCTTCACATATTTTTGAGGGAGCTTTAAGGACCGTCAATTCTTACACCATGTCCTTCTCTTGAAGTATCTTTAGTATTCCATAACTTAGATGCCCGACAATGTCATGTTCTCACGGGATCTTCTGTAATAACATTGAAGCAGGATTGTAGAGATTAAACAAATAGAGTAAAAGTTCTATTTGATGTCATGGAAGCCTCTACAATCAATCTTTTGCCACGATGATTAATCTTACCTCCTCCTTTTTGTATAAGAATTGCAAGACCTTTTTCTTACCGCTATAGGATGCTCAACAAATTGTCCTTCAAGTCTAGTACATAATATACCTCGACAATTGCTTACACAATCTCATTTACTTCAAACTTTACATTTCCCTTGTCCATCACAACCATGCTTGTGTTGTCACTCAGCTTCACAATTTGTCGTCATATCACTCTTACTCGATAAAGGCCGCTACTTTTCAAGGTAAATAGGCTCTAATACCACATGTTAAAAAAGAGATATAAAATCAAATCACAACTTCTTAAAGAATAGGATCACAAACTAAATCTTTTAACTCTAATACAATTTGTAACCATCCAAGTCCACACTAACGGTATTTTAATACACCATCCCGTGTCTATCTCTGATATCATCAGATATTGTAAGCTTTGGCCCGTTACGTCTCCTTGTCAAAATCCACCACTAGCAGATATTGTCAACTTTAGCTCATTCAGCCCATGAATTTAAAACGTGTCTACTTGAGAGATGTTTTCACACCGAAGGGATGATTCGTCATTCTTTCCAACAAATATGGAAGTCACAGTTGTGAGTCTTCACGATTTTAAAATGCATTTTAAAGGAAGAATTTTCCACACCCTTGTAATCAATACCTCATTCTTCTCTTCAACAAATGTGGCCATTTCTAATCTCATTCAAACAACATATATACGTAAAGGTTTTTTTAAAACGTTGAGGCTTTATGATCTAACGATGGGAGACAAGACGTGATATTCAAATGAATGAGAACCACACATCGTACCTACCAGCAATTGTTCTCTCAATATAAAGCCCGAAACAGAGCTCCCCTGCCTTTCCTCGTGCCTACAGTTGTGTTCTTCCCACTTACCTCTCTACCATGGCCTCCCCTCACGTCCTTCTCTTCCCTTTCTTCGCCCAAGGCCACATGATCCCCATGATAGACTTCGCCAAGCTTCTCGCTCAACGTGGCGTCACAGTCACCCTCGTCACCACCCCCCACAACGCTGCCCGCAACAGCCCCGTCGTTTCCCGCGCCACTACTTCCGGCTTGCCACTCCACATCGCCCAACTGCCATTCCCATGCGAGAAAGCCGGCCTCCCCGAAGGCTGCGAGAATCTAGACTTACTCCCTTCATTCGATTCCGCCTCCAAATTCATGAGAGCCACTTATCTCCTTTACGAGCCATCTCTCAAACTGTTCGAACAACTCACCCCACGTCCCTCCTGCATTATCTCCGACCTCTGCCTCCCTTGGACCTTGAAACTTGCTCAACACTTTCACGTACCCAGGCTCGTTTTCTACAATTTGAGCAGCTTCTTTGTTCTGTGTTCCCAGACATTGGCTGTCCAGAAATTCTATCTCCGCTCCCTGCCTGATGACTACCTTGTAACTCTACCTGACTTGCCTGGCTATGACTTTCAGTTTCGCAACTCTGTTCTGCCCAAGCACACCGATGAAGACTTCGCCGCCTTTACTCTCGAGATGGATGAAGCTGATCGGAAGTCCTACGGCGTTGTTTTCAACACCTTTGAGGAGATGGAGGGTAAGAATCTTGCGGAGTTTAAAAAAACCAGAGGCCTCCCTGATAAAGTTTGGTGCTTTGGCCCTGCTCTGCTTTGTAGCGACGACCAACTCGACATAGCCGAAAGAGGAAACAGAGCCGTCATCGACCAAGACGAATGCGTAAAATGGCTCAACGGGCAGAACCCATCTTCCGTGATCTACGTCTCATTGGGAAGCATCTGCAATTTGGTGACGGCGCAGCTGGTGGAGCTGGGATTGGGTCTAGAGGCGTCGAAGAGACCGTTCATTTGGGTAATTCGGAAAGGGAAGGAAGCAGAGGAGTTGCAGAAATGGTTGGAGGAGTACGATTACAAGAAGAAAACAGAAGGAAGAGGGCTAGTGATTAGTGGGTGGGCGCCACAATTAATGATACTGTCCCACCCTGCAACCGGATGCTTTCTGACACACTGCGGTTGGAACTCGACGCTGGAAGGGGTAACGGCAGGGTTACCACTGATAACATGGCCGCTTTTTGCAGATCAATTTTTCAACGAGACGCATATCGTGAAGATGCTTAAAATTGGGGTAAGCGTAGGTGTGGAGGCGGCGTCGCAATGGGGAGAGGAGGAGAAGGGGGCGGCGGTGAAGAAAGAGAAAGTGATGGAAGCTATAGAACGAGTAATGGGTGCATCAGAGGAAGGAGAAGAGATCAGAGAGAGATGCAGAGCGCTTGGGAAGAAGGCCATTGAAGCTGTTAAAGAAGGTGGTAGTTCTTATCGAAGCACTACGCTGCTCATTGAGGATATAATAGCTCTTGGAGGAGGAGGTGAGGGTAAAGGTATAGTAGGACATGTGTGAAAGTTATCTTATTTATAATTAAATAAATTATAAAATAAACTATAATTTATTACTAAATATCCTTAACAATATGGAATCAGTGGAATTTGCTGAAGCTCTCTCGGTTAATCTTGCACCAACATTTATGTTATTTGAATTATGATTTGAAATTAAGTTTTGCACTCTTTTTTCTTACCATTTTTAATAATAAACTCAAAATTATAATTCGAAGATTCAGTGGAAATTTTTTCAAATTCCCGTCTCACTTGTAACAAATAGTAGTAAAGTTAGGCCTAGAGTCTTGTGCCAACCTTGTTGGCCAGTCCTACACTAACCCGAGGTTAATTGTGAGATCTCGCATTTATTGAAAAGTGTAACAAAATATTCTCGAGTGTGGATATAAAATTTCATATGAGTTTGAGAGAGAAACAAAATATTCTTTAGAAAATGGTAAAATTTTCTCTCTAATGAACTCGTTTTAAAATCGTGAGATTGATGGTAAGTTGGAGACGGGAACAAAATATTCATTATGAAGGTACATAAACCTCTCCTTATAGACCCGTTTTAAAATCGTGAAGCATTTAGTATTCCTGGTCATACCCTCTTAAATTTGTTTGTTTTTCACTTTTATGTATAGTTTCATTAAATTCAAAAGAAAATACAGAGGACTCAGACATCACGAGACATCACACGTGATGAGAGAGAAATACAAAAATATATAAGGAAATTGCCAAACGTACTCTATAAAAAAGTTGGTTTTTTTAATTTTAGAGACTGGTAAGCATGAAATGACCGTTTTGTCCCTTTGTTTTCAAATCTTTTGAAAACGACCACACCCATCTGATATTTGGTCTCACACGCACGAAATCTCAAACCACCAGGCTACCAGTTGGCGGTGACGACAAGGGGGAGGTCCTGTGGACGGCGAGTACCCAGCGTCTGCATTGAGAGGGCTTCAAATTCTTTCCACCATCGCCCGCCACCACAAAATAAAAGATGGGTACGAACATGTTGAGATATGATTTAAAGTATTCAAAATGAAGATATGATTTAAAGTAGTTGAGATATGATTCAGGAGATTGTCTAGGTTTGAATTTATCTAGATTTTCATAATTTACTATTTCTAACCATTCCTGACAGAAAAAAAAAACATTATGAAAGAAGTATAAACACTGGAGTTTTGATTTATTTTATCTATTTCTATTTGAGAGAAGTATAAACATTATGAAAGTTGAGGGCTTATTTGAGAAATTAAATAGAAGAGAAAAGGGTAATTTGTTGATGGATCAGCCATTGATCTCCATCAATGTAGGAAACATCCATGTATGGCTCAGCCTCCACTTGATTCAGCTGCTTTGAGTATGGCACTCTCGAGCTGTAATTTGCTCCTTCTCCAGAGCAATCATACTCCCCAAACAACACACTCCTGATCATCAAAACAAACAACATCATGGGGTGACCCTCTCACAAAATAATGTCTTTATAGCAACGAAGTCTCTTATATTAACTTATCTCTTGAAGGGTCTCCCCAGTCATTCCATCCGCCAGCAGCCACCACGTCGGTCATGTATGTTTTAGAGAAGATGACAGTGGCAGAGACGCCCCAGGCACGGCCGAGCCACACCTTCCCAGAGCCATTGATGGTGCAGTTGATGAAGGCAAAACCAGTTTCCTCCATTCTTGTTTGCCTTCCTTGTGCTGTGATGGCTCCACTCACCCCGCCATTCATCATTTCCTTTGCTATTGACTTTATGCTACAACCCTGCCATTACCAAACCAAACCAAACAAATGAATTGAATGGTAATTTAAAACGAGGTAGAGGATAGAAATGATGATTAAGTACATCATAGAGCGATCGAGCATTGCCAAAGATGAAATCAATGGACCCTTGAATGAAACATTCTTTAAAGTAATGTCTTCCCTTGTCATCATAGAGTGTGTCTTGAGCTCCATAAAACCCACATCCATAGAAAGCAGCTTCATCTCCTACAATTCGAAGTGCCACTGCTTGTCCTCCAACAGTCCCTGGATTTGGCTGTGGAGCTGTGTTCTTTTCCCAAAGAAAACCCACAAAAGCCTCATCAATAAAGGTAAAAAAAAGGATCTACTTTTTTGCAAACACGTTTGAAGAGACTTCAAAACAAAGTTAACGAAGCAAAAGGAAGATGTCTTTACTTTGAAGCTGATGTTGAAGGCAATGAAGTTTGAGGGAAAGATTGTGACTGAAGAACTGTAAGGGGTACCTCCCGTGGAATTGGCAGTGTCATTCCATTCTATTGTAGTGTTCAGGTAGCCTTGGCCTTGAATTATCAAGTTTGTCTTGTTGGCTTCTACCACCACCTTCTCCCTGCCAACACTTTTCTCTCAATCTTTTAGTTCAATCATAACAGAGTGTGAAATCAGATTAGAGCCAAAAACTTTGTGTTTAAAGCAAAATTTTCGAACTGCCCTCTTTCCAAAAATCAATAGAGAAGGAAGATTTGAATGTTTAATGGAAGATAATGACCTGTAGATTCCAGAGTCAATTAGGATAAGGGTCCTTGAAGAGGCACGATCAGGAACAGCGTCCACTGCGCTTTGCACACTGCTAAAATTTGCACATCCCTTCAAATCAACTGTCAAAGTGAGTGAAACATTGTACAAAGATATCAACTCAGAGTTCCATTTCTTCTCATCACAATTTTTTTTATGCTTCAACTGATAGTATTTGGATGCAATTTGAGTCGCAAGAGACAAGAGATCATCCAAACCACTCGCTTTCGCTAGACTGCTGAGAATGCCAAGCCCAAAAGCACCGTCTTGAGGACGGACAGCGGCGAGGATGGCAGTCAAGGAAGGCGGGAATGAGCGCAGGGCAATGGCGATGGAAAGAGCTACAATGAGAAGAGAACAGAGCCAAAAAAGGAATTTAGTTATGATCCTCATGAGGTTAGGAGGACCTGTTTGTGGGTTTATGTCAAATGGAACAAGTGGGGTTGAAGGTAAATAGTTATATATATATATTTGATTTTGAGGGAATGGGGGGAGTTAGTGTTGGATTGGCTTGGCAGGTAAGAAGCCTATGGACTTCCGTGCATTATTTTGGTTTCTGGTGATGATGTCAGTGTCAACTTCCTAAAGGAAAAGGCTATTGAAATCAAAGACTTGATTAGCAAAACAAGAAGATGCATTCTTTAGAAGAGAAGTTGCATCTTTTTTCCCGTTTTATTTGATCTCTTTCTCAACAACTTAGTTCTAATAAAACTAATGTCGATAATATTTACAACTCAGGAGAGCTTCCGGTTGGTTATGAATGTTAAAAATAAAAATAGTTTCTACACTAAAATCTTATCTTATCTTACCTATTCTTGTCCATATAGTTTTTCTTGTCTATTCTTGTCCATATAGTTTTTCTTATGTGTAGTTCATATAGTTTTTCTTATATGGGACTACTTGGCAATGAACTTTGGTTGTCGTAGAGTTTCTGTTCGTCTCCTCTATTTTTCCTTGCATCTTCTCTCTTTTGTTCTTCAAATGATTCATCTAGATGGAGTATTTGAGTTGAGCAGTCCTAATCATCATTGATCATGCTCCCATCTCGATTGCCAATGATGCTTTTAAGGCAAAGCATAGGGCCGGTTGGAGTTATGGATATCGTCTTAATTATAAAGCAAAATAGTGCACATTTCACTGTTTATTTTAGTGGATTTGGGAGTCTTAATAACAAGTCTATTTAATACCTTTTCTAAAGTTGTAAGAATTATTACCCCACCCTCCCACCCTCATACTTGCTAAACTAAAATAAAATATTAGATAAAATAAATAAGATTTGCAATGTCGTTCTATTTTTAAATAATATTTTTTCTTCTGAAGTCATTTACACAGCAAAATCAACTATAAGCACATCATACTAACGTTTGAGGCACTTGAATAATCACAAGTATGAATGGAAGGATGTCTAGAATGGCTGGTGGTTGTGACTAAAGCCATCACCTACGATATGGAGGCAGTCAGGAAGGCAAGGGACAAGGAGAAGGTAAGGGAAAGCTACATTTGAAGATGTAATACAAAACTAAAATGGATATTTAGCCTAAAAAGGGAAAAGGGTTTATAAGCTATACACAGGCAAACCCACAGAATGATGGTGGGAGAGGGAATAGAGAGAGGAAGGGAGATTAGAGGGAACCTCACACCCTCCATGCTTGGTCACAATGGATCACCTACAGCCCGAAATGAAGGAACCGTTTTCCGAAGCATGGATGTCCCTTTGAAAGTTAACATCTGGCAGCAAGTTCTTCTATAGCTGCTGAGCTGCAGTCAGTCAATACAAAATTATGCTAAGGTGTGGCTGGAAAACGCACCATTTAAGGTAAGGAATATGTGCTGTTATATTCTTTGAAGTATATACCTGGTCTGGTTTTATTCTCTTGAAACCGAACTTTTCAGTCCAAATGGATTCAGCTTCTTCGGCAGCCGGGAGAACAAGGCACTTAACTTTCAAGAAAGCTAGCAGCCTCTCGATGCACGAAAACAACGTTTGGAAGTAGCCCTGTCATCATTACATGCAGGAAATGTTAGAAAGAATCGAATCAAAATCGCCAGAATATTGCATACCCTCGACTAGAAAGTCAAAGATGTCAAAAACATTCCAAATTGCCTTGCATACTCAGAATATCTAGTGTGTAAAAAGAAATGAAAGGATGCGGAAAAGGAAAATATATTTTCACTGGCAGTTTCAAAAGAAACTGTAGGTGAAGAGAATATATATTTTAAAAAGAAAAAAAAATAAGAAAGGACATAAAACTAAAATATAAGTTTTTATGGATGAAATAATATTTCATTAATCAGACCTTGCCATGGTTACCATTACTCGTTGCAACCAAGGGCAGCTCTGCAATATCTTGCCCAAAAACACGAAGCATTGCAGCAGATACAACAAATGAGCTGTGCAATATAAAAAAAGAAATTCATAATGATACTTTGTAACAGGTTATAGGTCAATTGATAAGCAAGATTCTTACTTGACAAATAATAGGGCACAATACATGCCTCCAAACTCTTGTCCACCTACATCCCTTCTGTCAAATAGGATGACAGATAACAACAAAATATAAATTACCACTATAAAAACAGAGCATGGCGCTATTATTGCTGACAGACCAAAAAATCAGAATGAAATAACTTGTCACTAACCCATAAACCATAGCTGGAATAAGATCGCGTCCACTTGTTATATCAACTATAGGATCAAAGCGATCCTGTAAATTAATGACATGTTTTAATCAAACATTGCACTTATGGATCATACTTCAAATGCAGGCAGCACAGTTTATCTAAAATAGTATCTTAATCAAACACAGTTTATTGTTCTGTAACAATCAAAATGAAATGTATATATATATATATAGGAAGACTAACGTGGAAGATAGCAATGGCCTCTGACAGCAACAACCGAGTTTCAGGTGAAGCAATTTTGCCACTGATAAGCCTCCAACTGACATCAACATTAGTCTTAATGTCTGAACCATTTTCTACAAGTTTTCTATTGACAGCATCCAAAAGTGAATTCTGAAGCTTTTCTGGCCCACGAATTAGCAACTCCTGTAGAGCAGAATGTATGCTCGTACAAATTGTGCTACAAAACCACTTTCCTCTTGGCAATTCCTATTTCATTAACGGTCTTTACTTTTTCTTATCTCGGAAAAAATGGCATTGGACAAGGAAAGAAATTGTTTTCACACAAAGGATTTCAAGTAAAAAGCAAGACTACGATTTCAGTCAATACCTTAAGAAATGCCATTTTGTGGTCTTTTAAACAGCCCACGTGAAATTCCTTCTCGCACTGACCACAAATCAAATGAAGAAATTGCAGAAAAAGCATAACAGCAAGCAACATAGGCAAGGAACTAGAAATGAGTCGATAACAACAGCAATTGAATGATCAACTAGAGGTTAAGATGATATGACAAGATACCTGATCACAAAGTATAATTGTGAGGGGACCAAAACCTGATTTGCTGAAATCAGAGCCACTGCATTCAAAGATGTAAAAGGAAATACTAAGCATCAAAGAAAAACCATTATATAATATAAAACAACGAAAAGAAAAATGAGAAGCTTATTCAGGGACATTTGAGAGAAGAAAAAAATGCAATTATTACCGGCATAACACACATCCACTAAGATCTGTTTCTATGTTCCTAACCATTCGAGTGCATCTTTTAGTTATCTGCTCAATAGGGTCAATTCCATGCACCCTTCCGGCTGCAACAGCATTGGCATTATGCTCAACAAGATTCTCCCTTTGGAACAGATTCTGGCAAAATTTACAATACCAATCACCACGAGGAACACTTGATAAGGATGCACACTCTGCACAAAGGAATGGACCGCAAATCAGGCAGACTACAAAGTCCATTAGTCAAAAAACTGAACGAGCCAAGGAGGCCAATTTAACACAACAGCTTATAAACTGTTGACTGCTTACACAAAAATAAAACATGTAAACTGAAGAAGAGTTTGTAAAGAAAAAATAAAGACGTACTATGGTTTAAATTGTCTAAACCATGGTACTCCGTATTATGATTTACCTTTATGGAATGCCCTAGGGCAGCCATCACAAAGCAAAAGATTTCCACCATCTAGACATATTATGCACAAGTCGTCATTATCCTTAGCAGAATACTTGCGCCCCTTCAAGAGAGAAATTGCTAATTCATGCAGAGAAATCCCATTTGATGTGTAAATGTATGCATAACTGCAAAATAAAAATCCATATGAAAAAGCTTGCAATGAATATTTTGAGCTGTCATAAAACTAAAGGAAAATATGCTCACGGATTCTTGCGAGAAGACCAGCCAGCATGAAGTTCAAATTGTGAAGGACTAACCTGCAGATGGAACGTAAAAAGAAAGTGTTCACAATAGCACTCAAGAATCTGAAAGTACAAGAATTTAAAAGGGCTCACCACACAATTGCAGCAGCAACATAAAATTCCAGATCCCTTCTTATAACCCTGGAGCAGTTTCTGGACGTAAATGAAAGGAATAAATCATTACACACATTAATAAACTGAGGAATACTTGAATGGTTACTCCAAGCATGCATGACCTATCTTAGCTACCTGTGCCCTGGCAAAATATGCTACTTCAGTTCCATCAGGCAATCCGTCTTCCTCAAAAACCAAATTATGCAACCTCTGATCTCTTAAGAGTAAAAGTATTCAAACATAAAGTAATCAAAATAGTTATCAAAACCATGAGAGGTATTTCCTTCAATAATATGGAAACAGAAGGAAATTTGGGCCACTAAGAATTAAATAACAACAAAGGATAAACAACTAACTTCATTGTTATTTTCCACCGATTTTTAGCTAATGAAGAACTACACTTTGAAGCACTTTGGGAGGATTTTAGCATTGAAGCTGGTTTCAATGACCTGCAACTTAAAATAAAGATATTAAAAAGATGAAATGTTGGACAGAAAAATGATGCAGCCTTTTTCGGTGGATTTAAATGGTTCACCAAACCACGGCATTAAAAACAGTAATCTAGAGATCAACTGTACTTACTTCTTCCTCATCTTCAATGCACTCTTATTCTTTTTAGGAATACGCATTGGTGCACTTTTGGGGGACCTTGAGATGGAAATGTATTCGGACGGTTTTGACCTGAAAGTTATACCAATGATTGAACTTGAAAAGGTATTAAAGTTGAGTATCTTAGGAAAAGAAATCGGCATACAGCTAACTTAAAGGCAGGAATTTCAAATTTAATACTTCAATCCCCAAAAGTGTCGGGAAAAAAAGGAGAGGAAGTGGGAAAAAAAAAGTATAGCCCGTAGTGTACGATGCACGTAAAGAGAATGATACTTACTTTGCTTTTGTTACCCATTTGCGCTTATATCGTGAAGAGATATATACTGGAACACTTCCAGATGATTTTGATGTGGTTGGATCTGTTGACCTGCAAAACCAAACTAACCTAAAATGTAACGTCTTAACATTCTACTAAAGAAAGAAAAAAAATGAAGATGACATTTCCGTGCATTCATGTTCTAAATCGTGAAAGATTTACAGAATCCACATTTTCAGTGTAATTAGTGGCGTCCTAGAAAATTACACTGTTGAAGATAGTACCATCAATCTTACATGCATTACGTATCCCATCTTTACTTAAAAGCGCTACACTACCCAATTCAAAAACTTATATGTTTTACTATCTTATGAGAGGTTTCCTGGCCCGAAGTTGCAAGTAAGATACTTTCAGAAGCAGTTCGTGTACTAGCTGTCGTGGAGAATTTTTACAGAATAATATTACTCTACATTACTGTATACATTGTCATACATAGAAGCCATACCAGGGAAGAATATAAAATTCTAACTAATTTTCCAGAACCCATAGCATGAACGGAGCATTTGGGTTTGGGTGATAGGAAAAGGGTCCTAAGCTGAAAGAAGTAGTTGCCATACCTCGGTCTCTTATCAATTGCGGAAGTGAGGGGCATTGGCAGTGACTGCGTACACTTAGATCGCTTTGATTCCTCGCACGATGGGCATAAAGGTCCCACTTTTCCAATGGATGAAGGAAAGCATCCTAGAAATCGTCACTAATTATCTAACAGATTATAAATCTTGTAAACTACTTGGTTTTGGTTGCGATTATCATGACGTCTGCCAGTGGCGACAAATAATAGAAAACCAAAATTTCACCTTTACACTCTCTACACGTATAACATTTTTCTTCAGGCGAAGAGCTAATCAGACTTTGTACGGTGGCCTCAAGTGTCTGCCTACTTCTCTTGCATGCTCTCACCAGGTCGAGTAGGCTCTTCCCGTTCTCAAGACATATATACTGTGCTGCTCGTTTATATTGTTTACAAGCGTGGATCTCAAATTGTGAAGGAGGAATGACCTGGATTGAACAAAAAGAAATTAAAGAAAACACTAACAAAAACCATTTCATGAATTCCTATGTTAAATCCAGAGAGATTACAGACTCTGCATCCATCGCAGGATGAGCATGTACACAAAATCCCACCATCTTTAATTGTACCGCGCAGGCCGTGTTCATATGCCTGAGATCAAAATGCAGCAAGAAAATGAAGCCATATATAACACCCAATTCTAAATGATTGAAAATACTGGGAATTATACTTAGAATTTGAAAATTTAAATGAGAAAAACCTTCTTTACACCCATGTAGATGACAGGTACCCCCTCGAGCAAACCAGTATCAAACAGCTCCCTCACAGTCATTGGCTTCTTGTTCAATGCAATCTTTTTGGACATTTTTAATTCCAACTTGTTCTTCGGAGTTGACACTGAGTTGACTGTTTCATTTGTTTCTCCACCGACATCTGGAATAACCTCCTCTTTAACAGATCCTATTGTAATTGGGGTGACTGTGACTTCCTCGAGCTCAACCTTCGATCTGAATGAGGAGCGTGTAAAGCGCCTAATTCCCCATCTAGACAATCTTTCCTCAACTTTTCTTGCCTTTGAAGTAACTTCAGGATTCCCCGCCGCTCCTTCTTCCTTATCTGCAGATTTTTCCATCGCCCCATCAGACTCTTTCTTACAGTCAGAACTCTTTGAATTGCAATTCAATTTATCCGGAACTATAGTTTGAATTCGAACCTCCTGATTCATACAGCCCTTACCAACTTCCAAGCTTCCAAGAATTTCCTGCTCAACCCCGCTATAACACTTCTTCCTATTATCATTCTCCGACAGCCCACTGTACACATTGATCGGAGACTTCCTTCCCCTAGTATATACAATCAGACCATTCACAACAGCGCCTTTAAATCTCTTGCAGCTACCACTCGGAGCAGCCTCGTCCAAATAGCTACCCGACCTCGCCTCAGCTAGAGTCTCACTTCGAGTATGACCAAGATCCCCCTCAAGCTGAGATTGAACCTCCAAATCAAAAGCCAACTCCCGCTTCATACCTAATAATAATCAGTCCTGAAACTAGAATTCAACAGAAAAATACGAGCCTCTGAATCCTAGAATTTGAAAAGCAAACTCTGGAACAACGAATGTAGCAGTGGATCGCAAGTATCGCCGTGAGAAGACATGGAGAAACAGAGAGAGAGAGACTGAGATCGGAACAAATTGGAGTTAGGGTTTTGAAGAAGCTTTTACCAGAAAGTGAAGGGAGAAAGAGAAAAGAAAGAGGAAGACGGTGTAGCATCAAAACGCATCTTTGGAATTAGAACACAGTCTGAGCTGAGTGTGAAGCAATGGAGGGAAAAGGATAAAGATGGCGGCCTGCACAGAGACGAGCAGACCGGGCAGCCTTTCCCATTACTCTAATCTTGCAACAATACGGAACGGAAATACGGACTCCAACTGAAGAAAAAAAAAAGACCAATACGTCGTCGTTTTTTTGCATTAAATTAATTTGTATTCTCGTATACATTTCAAAATTTATTGTACAAATTTGTGTTCATAGTTCCACTAAGAAAACACGAGCAGCTTCACACTATTACTGTCAAGAATTTTCCTCAGTCAAACATGTTTTTCTTGGAACAAACCAACCAAATTCATCTTTAAAATAATCAAATTGGTTTATAATCATCTAAAATTCCAACAACTGAGAGAGAGAGAGAGATTGAGAGAGGACACTCCATTGATAAAATTCAGGTGGCCATAGCCATACATATACGAGTGTGTATTTAATAAGCTAGCTACCACCAAGTGTTGCATTATTAGAAAGCAAATCAACAAAAAAATAAAGAATAAAACAATGCTGCATATAATCCAAGTCACTGAGTCGAAAAATACTGAACTTTCTCGATGTGGGAGTTGCCCTTTAACAGAGTGAGGCAATTTGGAGGAATGCCCAAGTGTGGGAGTTGCCCTTAACAGAGGCAATGAGGAAAGATCTTCTCTGTCCCCACCGAAGAAGACACACAAAAGTTTCAGGCAACCTTCATATCATATTCTCACCCAACATTGGTCAATTGGGAGCATCAGAAGCTCCACCGCCGTCGGCCGCCGTTGGGGTTGGCGGGTGAGAGGGGCGTGGAAGAGAGTGGTGGTGGGGTTATGCTGTTGTAAGAAGGTTTTGATAAAGAAGCTGCTGCATTGGTTGTTATAGGAGATTTTCAGGGCAGAGAAGGAAGGCAAATCAATGTGACCCAGGAGCGGTGTGCGGCCACTGGAAACGTGAGCCAAAATCAAGACATGCAACAACGAAAAGAGAGAAAAATGGAGGCAGCATGAACAAATTCAGCATCTTCTGGGGGATATACTCTTACCCACCATCGTATTCTGTTCCAGGTGTGACAATATTACCTCCCTTTTTGCTCCTTTCCTGCATTGCATTTGCCTCTCTCAACAACCTACATCAGGTTTTTGCTCCACAGAGGTATCCTTACAAACCTGCCAATGTCACATTCTTTTTAGCAAAATCATCATGTACACATCGTCTATCTACAACGCAAATGCTGGGATTAGCAAGGCAAATGGATACCTGAGGAAGCAACGGAAGAACACCACAAGTGAGTGCCAATCTGCTTTAGCTATTATATCTCTCCAAGCTCCAATACCATTCACCCCATCATCACTACGTAGACTATGATATGAGGAGGAAATCTACAAAGAGTAACGACTCCCAGAGTGGTGTACTCATATATGGCTCTTTCACATTATTGCCTTACTTCACACAAAGTAACTTGTTTGAAACAATGGAAATGCATTGCCAACTGATTCCTTCAATTTCGGGATAGTTTTCATCACAATCTCCATTTCCTCCCTTTTCAAACAACCAAGCACTCTTCCACGTGTTAGCCTAAAACCAGTTTTCCAGCAGGATTCAATCTCGAGTCTTGATTGAAATCATGATTTGAGAACTGAAAAATGACTATAGAGAAACTCCCTGAGACTGGTGCGTATTAGCTAAGGAAAGAGTGAAGACTTGCATTTTTGGACTTTCATGAGAACCAACTCCTTCCGGTGCTCTTGGCTGCTCTCAGCTTCAGAACAAGTTCCTCACGCTCTTGCTCGACTTCAGCGTACTTAAGGCTCATGTGGAAGTACCGCTCACGAAGGTCTCTTAGCTCCTCCTCTAGAGCCGAGTTAATGCTTTCATATCCTTCCTTCGTCATTACATCGCCTCCAACTGTTGGTATAGGAGAATTTTCTTTGTTGTTTTGATCGTCTTGAATGACCCTGATTTTGATGCAAAGAGATATGGAAAAATTCAACATCTAAAACTGGGAATTTGGTGCCAGGAAACTCTATAGGGAATAACTTAATAGATTCCACTCACTTAAGTACAACAGTTCACGTTGTAATGTAACAAATAAAAACCGAGCTCGTCTTGCACTTACCTGCTCAGCTGATCTTCATATTTCTTGTTTGCTTCCAAAACCTCAGCAAGTTCTTTTTCGAGCAACTGAATTCTTTCAATTGATTCAGCTTCAGCAACATTAGGACCTTCAACATCAATATCGCATCCACTATCATCCTGTCGAGATTAGAAAGTAAGAAGTTATAAAGCCATCCCTGAAAACTAAATGAATAGTAAAATAGACCAACTTTAAGAAGCTTCATGCCTTTATTGGGCATGTTTTTGCCGTTGGTTTTGGAAAAACCTTGAACACTTACAATGCTAGACTCCCGCTGGATCTGTTTTTCCTCCTTCAAACGTTTCAGTTCTGCTTCAAGGAATTGAGATCGTTTTAGACGCTTTAAGTAAGTTAATTCTTCCTCATGCTGCTTTCGTTCTTTTTCAGAAAAAGAAAGCTTTAATTCAAGATCATCGACAGAGTTCTTAAGTTTGACTTCAAGTGATTTGTGATTTTCCAACTGCTTCAGTAACTCTTCATGTTCAGCCATCAGTATCTCTTGGTTTTTTTTTGACACGGAAAGCTCACTGATCAGAGCCAGTAACTGTTCATTAGATTCCATGACGTTGAGATCATTCTTTGTAGCTGAAAGTTCCATGGTCAGGTGCACAACCGCTGCTTGAAGTTCTTGAACTTCAGTTGTCTTCTCCAAATATGTCTCATTATACAAGTTTTCAAACAATGAACATTTCTCTTTGTATTTTATGTTCTCTTCAACGATTGAATCTAACTCCGAAGATAGGAATCTTTCTTTTGAGGTTAAATCCTCCAACCCGAGAAAGAGATTATCCTCCAAATCATCAACTCTTATGAAATAACGGGCGGACCTTTCAAGCGATTCCTTCAATTTCGATTCCAAGCGGAAATAATCCTCATGCAACTCGACATTCTTTTTCTTCAGCTCTCCATTTGATTCTCTAAGAAAATTTCGTTCTTCAGAGAGATGCTCAGCTGCAGCTTCCAAGTTTGTTTTTTCTCTTTGCAGGTACTCACATTTATCTTGAGCCTCTGCACATTTGTTTTGCAAGTCATTCAACATTTGTTTCAAATCAACACTTTCTGTCTCTATCTCGAGTCTCTGTCTATCAACCTCATCCTGGAGAGCCACTGCATCAGACTTAAAGTTCTCTAACTCAAGGCGAATTGACTCCTTCTCGTCCGTCATAGATTTTAGTTGTGATTCCAAAACAGATATGCTTTCTGACAACTGTGTGCTTTTCTGTTCGATCTGAGATATATGGAGTTCAAGTTCTTGTTTTTCACATTGAAGCTCTGAATATTTACTTTCAAGAATCTTGTTTGCAGAAATATGCAAATCCACACTGTTGCTAAGCGTCTTTACTTCATTTCTCAAATCATTTAAGCTTCTAGCACTGATGTCACTTTCTCCATGTATGACTTCCATTTGTTCCTCCATCTGATTTTTTTCTTTCTGAAGACCAGAATACTCAGCTTGCAATTTGTTATGCAAATCTTCAAGGATCTTAATCTCGTCGTCTTTGGACAAAATGCTGTGCTCAAGTTCTTCAATCTCCATCTTTTTCTCAGTCAATTCCCTACTGAGCTCTTCAACTTTGACTTCCAGCTCAATTTCTCTACTATCTACATTTTTACTGAAAGGACCATCGTTATTCTCAATCAAAAGCTCACCAGCTGTGGAGTTCAAAGCCAACTCTCCCCCCTTAGAGTCGTTATTTGCTTGCTTAAGCTTGTACAAGAGGTTCATATTTTCCTCTGTCAATTCATTACAATCTTTTTCTAACTCCTGCACTTTTTCTTTCAATCTTTCAATGTCTTCCACTAAATTTTCCTCAGAATGAAGCGTACTATCGTATTCCCCGTCTGTACCCTGAGGGAATCTTTGGTTGGAGACCTCGCATTTCTGCAAATCAAGTTTGGTTTCCTCCAAGTTTCTCTCCAGAACCTCAATCTTAAATTGAAGATTTTTTTCTGATTCCTTCACATGCTCCAATTGAAGCATCAATTTTTTGTTTTCTTGATTAATATTTTCGTAATCATCAACATTTCTTTGCTGTGTCAAAAGTTCCTCTATCTCCAATTTCTGGTTTTCAGTAATCTCTTCTAGCTCCTTAAGAACGGACACAAGCTCAATATTTGATTCTTGACTTCTCTTTAGCTGCAGAGCTAAATCAGCATTGGATTCTTTTTGGAACTTCAGTTCATCTTTCAATTCATCTAAGATTTTTGTTTCGTCCTCGATGCTTGTTTGTCTTTGAGTCGACCTCTCAGTCATCGGTTTCAGTTCCTCAAGTTCTTTTCTCAACCCATCACATTCCGCAGTTGCTGCTGAAAGTGCAGCACGTAAACTTTCCTGGTTTTCAGATTGATCTGAAAACTCTTTCTTCAACTGATCAAGATCAGCCATCAGTTTGCGGGCATTGCTCTCCCACATCCTAGCTTCAGCGCGAAGTTCCTCAGTAGTCGTTGTTTCTGCTGCTTCCAAAAAGTTTTTACATGAAAGGTAAGACATTCCTGAAGATGATATTGCAAAATCTTGACATAAAATTTAAGAATGATTACCTGAACCACTGTTCTGTGAGCACACCGAGTCTTGTCTTCGAATATCATTGTAATTGTTTTTTGTAGCGTCACTCTCTACTGAATCATAAGCCTCAGAAGAATTATTGCCGATGTGTGAATCCGAAGCAGAGTAACTTGCTTCCTACAAACAGATACAAAAATATGTCAGTCATTATGTAATCAAAATATATAGAACAATCAATGAATCTGCATGGGACCATGGTCTAGATGAGGAACAGGGTCCTGCATAAACAAAATTCCTCATATTGTTTATTAGGAAAAAAATGTTATGCCTCATTAAATAACGCATTAAGAATGCAAATGGTAATCTAAAACATGATCAAAGCCTAATATAACGACAGAAATTCGATTAAACGAGCAAGAACTAATACAGTAGAGGCACCAAACATG